GCTCGTAGCAGCTGTGGCAGATGATGTCAGACGCGGTCGTTGCCATGGCGAATCCTTGACCAGCTATGCGTCCCTTCCCTTCCTTGCGCGATTGTTCGTCCAAGAAGATGTTGCGCATGGTGGGCCAGGACGTTGAAGGTTGGGTCTCTGAACACCGTCAGTTTGACGTCCTTGTATTCGTCGGAGAAGCCCTGTACGCGGATGTCCTTGAAGCGGCGATCGGAGATGGGTTCTCCCATCTTATCCAGCTGGGTGCGAAGTAGGTGCTTCTGGTTGAAGTAGTCGTCGGGATTTTCACCAGGGTTCATGGGGTTGTTCTCCAGCTCCTCCATCTTGGCCCTGATGACCTCGTCCGTCACCCTGTCATAGTTGTTGCAGAGCTCTTCGAAGGCAGCTTGTCCGTCGCCGCTGATGCCAGTGTCGTTTTCGTGCTTTTGTATCGACAAGGCGGCTGGAAGTTCCACTAGGAGGAAAAGAATGGCGTAAAGATCTTCGTTTGCCCTTGTGTAGGAGTCGAAGGCCGCTGTGTCTGCGGGATCTGGCTTCCTTTGTTTCTTCAGCAGTGGCAGGATGTCCTTCCTGGTCACACCTAACACCACGCAGGATTTCTTCATCTATGTCTTGAACTCAGCTGGGTCCTTTCCGTCGAATTTCTTGAGGCCTTTGATCACGGTTGCCAGGTTCGTAGAACTATCGCTGGCGAACGCGCTTCCACCTCCTGTGTTGCTCGTTGCAGTATCCATTGCTCGTTCCAGCTTTATTTTCTTCGTCTTGATAAAAGTACTTCCTGCTGTAGGAGTGAGTTTTTTCGTGGTACTACTGCCTGTACCCGAGACTTCCCCACCCCGTTCCTGCTACTGATATAGAGGACTCCGGTTGTGGTTTTCTTGTTTCCGATCCCGCTCCTGCTACTGATATAGAGGACTCCGGTTGTTGATCGCCTCCACTGATGATACAGTGTAGTTCCTTGTACACCCGATGCGTATGCCGCTCGAGATTCCCGCGCACATGACCCTTGCTGCTAGTTCACCACAGAGATACCCGCTACTGCCACAAGGGTGGTAACGTGTGTATACGACGTGAACCCTCAGCACCTTGGTGTAGGTGACAAAGTTTGCGCGTCTGCTTGTGTTGCCGTTGACCGATGACGGCGTCGCAATCTCCAGAAATCTCCGAAACCAGGTTCTCTCGTTGTCCACGGATGAAGGTTGATGTCCCGAGAAGAGGTTGCCTTGATCTTCCCGTGATGTTCGCAGCTCGTAGTGTGTGCGTTAGCCGAGGCTCATAACCTGTCAGAGATATTTCGCTGTGCACTAGCAGCAGTACGATGCTGCAGATGCCAGGAGGCTGTGTAGCCTACCTCAGAGGTTCACACTCTGTGCGGCTCCAACCGTGAGAGACTTGGAAT